TGCAGTGGTTCCAGTCAAGCACCGAAAACATAGGGTTATCGATAGACGCATTATTAGTCGAGCTTGCAGTAATGTTTGACCATCGACCGAGCAGATTGGCGCTACGGAAAAAATTCGAGGAAAGAACGTGGAAAGCTTCGGAATCTTTCGGAGATTATTACCACGAAAAATTAATCCTTGCCAATTCTGTCCCAATTGATGAAGCAGAATTAATTGACTATCTGATTGATGGAATACCTGACACGTCAATCCAGATTCAGGCGAGACTTCAACGTTTTAAGGACAAGGCAACCTTGCTCGAAGCTTTCGAAAAAATAAGTTTGAGACAAGAAAGAAGGGGCAATAGAGGGGAGCAGCCACCGATTCATAAGGAGGAGTCTACGTCTAAAATTGAGGATAAAAACATCAAAAAGAATATAAATTCGAGGGTTCGCTGTTACAACTGTAACAAACAGGGTCACTTGGCGCCGGATTGCAGAATGCCTAAGAGGGAAAAGGGAGCGTGTTTTAAGTGTTTTGAATTAGGCCATCAAATTCAAAACTGTCCAAAAATTAAAAGGGATCCGCAGCAGGAAAAATCTTTACAGTGTGCTAATGTATCGGGACATTTAGCATTGAACGAGAAGTATTTCAAGGACATCGATTACGAATTTTCCACTCAAGAAAGAAGAGTCAACGTCAACCTGGACACTCTTTTCGACACTGGCAGCCCGGTAAGCTTCGTAAAAAATTGTGTTGTACCCGATGTAATAATTGAACCTATAAATAATGTACAAAATTATGTGGGAATTAATAACAGTGGGTTAAATATAATTGGAAAAATAAATTGCAAAGTACGTATAAACGATATGATTAGAGAAAATTTGACACTGTTAGTAGTTCCCAATACTACAATGAAAACTTCGGTTGTTCTTGGTAGAGATATTTTAGATTGTTTTGGTTATAGTTTGCGCTCAACCGAAGAGGAAATTAAGGAAATTTTAAATGTTGATATCGGGAATAATGACGAAAAAAAAAATTTTCTTGATTCTCTTAATATTAATCCTGATGTTGATATTGAAACTCAGAATGAAATTAAAGAATTATTTTATCTCGAATATTTAATAGCAGAACGTCCTGAATTTCCTAATGTAAAAACTGAGTTAAAAATTAAGCTCACAAGTGATCGTGTAATTTGTTTTAACGCGCGTAGATTATCATTTGAAGAAAAAGGTAAATTAGAAAAATTGATTGAAATTTTGATAGCAAAGAAAATAATTCGTCCTAGTGAAGCGCAGTATGCGTCGCCAATTGTATTGATTAGGAAAAAAAACGGCGAAATACGTCTTTGCGTAGATTATCGTTTTTTAAATAAAATTATTGAGAATATTAATTATCCGATACCTCATATTGAGGATCAAATTGATAAATTGAGAGGTAAAAAGATTTTTTCACTATTGGATTTGAAAGACGCTTTTCACCAGATTAAAGTCGATGACGATTCGGTCAAATACACGGCATTCATAACGCCGCTGGGCCAATTCGAGTATCTTAAAATGCCGTTTGGTTTAAAGACAGCACCGCCTAAATTCCAGAGCTTTGTTAACTCTATCTTACGGGAATTAATTGCGTCGGGCGATGTTTTAGCCTATTTAGATGACTTTTTGATTGCAACAGAAACGAAAGAAAAGCATTTAGAAGTTTTGAAAAAAGTGCTAAAATTATTAGTTGCTAACAAACTCGAACTAAGAATGGATAAATGTCTATTGTTCCAAACTGAAATTGAATATCATGGCTACTATGTCACTAAAGATGGAATACGTCCAACTAATAGAGGCATAGAGTCTGTGGTTGAATATCCGACTCCAAGGAATATAAGGGACTTGCAAAGTTTTCTTGGAATGTGCTCTCATTTTAGAAAGTACATGCAAGGATTCTCGGTTTTGGCCAAGCCCTTATACGATTTGCTTCGGAAAGGTAAAGTTTTCAATTTCGGGGAAGAAGAATATCGCGTGTTCGAGCTATTAAAGAAAAAATTAGTAGAGTCACCAGTTTTGTGCATTTTTGATCCGAAGAAAGAAACAGAGTTACATTGCGATGCCAGTAAATTTGGCTATGGGGCGGTGTTGCTCCAAAGGCAAGAAAACGGAAATTTACATCCGGTCTTTTATTTTTCGAAAAGATCAACTGATACAGAAAGTCGGTATCATAGTTTCGAACTCGAGACCCTTGCTATTATTTACGCCTTGCGTCGATTTAAAATTTATTTAAAAAATAGACCATTTAAAATTGTTACTGATTGTAATTCTTTAAAGCAAACTTTGGATAAAAAAGAAATGAACACAAGAATAGAGCGATGGGCACTCGAGTTGGAAAACTATAATAAAGTAACCGAACATAGATCGGGAGAAAAAATGAAACATGCAGATGCTCTCAGCCGTATGAATTCTGTGATGGTGGTCGAAGAAAATAGTTTTGAGGCAAATCTGATAGTGAATCAAAACTGTGATAAAAAAATTCTTGAATTGCGCGAAAAATTAGAAAAATCGGAAGATCAAAATTTTGAAATGCGAAACGGTATTATTTATCGAAAACGAGGCAAAAAAATATTGTTTTATGTGCCTGAAAGAATGGAATGTAACGTAATGCGAAAATATCATGATGAATTAGGCCATCTGGGATGCGAGAAAACATGTGAAGCCATGTTGAGAAATTATTGGTTTCCTAAATTGCATGAAAAAGTTAAAATTCATATTGCTAATTGTTTAAAATGCATTGCATTCTCTCCTCCTAACGGTAAACAAGAAGGTTTTTTGAATCCGATTCCGAAAGGCGATAAACCGTTTTTGTTATGTCATATTGATCACTTAGGTCCGGTTGATAAAAGTATTTCTACAAAACGACATGTGTTAGTTGTTATTGACGGGTTTACGAAATTTGTTAAACTTTACGCCGTAAAATCAACTGACTCGAAAGAAACAATTAATTGTCTAAGCGAATATTTTCGAAATTATAGCCGTCCAAAAATGATTGTGTCCGATCGAGGAACTTGCTTTACTTCCGACGATTTTGACAAATTTGTAAGCGATAATAATATTGTTCATATTAAAGTTGCAACTGCTTCTCCGAAATCGAACGGACAGGTTGAACGCGTAAATAGGGTTTCAACCCCGATGTTAGCGAAATTAACTGACGTTCAAAACGGAAAATTTTGGTATAAAACTCTGTGGGAGGCAGAATTTGCTTTGAACAATACAGTAAATAAAAGTACGGGAGAAACAGCGAGTAAATTACTTTTCGGCGTGATTCAGAGAGAAGAAAATGTAGATGCTTTGGGGGAATATATTAATGACATACAGGTGAGCGATGAATCGTGTGAATTAGACGAGCTAAGACTCAAAGCGAAAGATAGAATAGAAAAATCGCAAGAGTATAACAAGAAATATTTTGATGCGAAACGAAAAGAGGCGCACAAATACATTGTCGGCGATTTAGTTGTCATTAAGAATTTCGATTCGACTAAAGGAGTTTCAAAGAAAATGATTCCCAGGTGGAAGGGTCCATATCAAGTTGACAAGGTGTTGAGAAATGATCGTTATGTGGTCAAAGACGTAGAAAATTTTCAAGTAACGCAAAAGTCATACTCTGGTACCTGGGAGGCATGTAATTTGAAACCCTGGTGTGTTGATTAGAATTGTATTGACGAATTTGACATTTTTATTTGTAAATAAAAGAAATTAATTATTTTTATCAACGAATTTTATGTAAAATGATTTTTATAAAAAGCAAAATGTAGTTGTATTGTTTTATATTTATTATATTTATTATTGTAAAATAAAATATTTATGAAAGACTGACAAATTAAATATTAAAAAGCATGTTGTTTCAGTTCGAGGTCGAACTTTAATCAGGATAGCCGAACTGTAAGGTATAACCAATGTATTGGTGTATGACGTCACTCGAAATAAGAGAATAGAGAGAGTCTAATTGTATTAGTCAGTCTTAGCACGGAAGCCAAGCTATATAGTCATATATTAATAAATGTCATTTTACTTTATTTTAATTAATTATATTTATTTATTTAATTATTACGCCCTCACCTCCCTCACAAAAAAAAGATCATCAGGCCCACTCAAAAACTTATTACAAAATTTTCTTTTCATTTTCATGTGTGTAAAAATTAAAAAAAAATAAAAAAATCGCGCCTAAATTTAAAAAAATTTAATTTGTTTATGAAAAATCGCTGTTTTTTATAAACAAATTCAAAATTTTTTTTTTCGCTAACATATTTTGAAAGTCGATAAAAAACTTAAACTTTTTTGTATGTTAATCACAATTCATAAATTCAATACTTTTAGAGTTACATGTCATTGAAATTAGGTGTATTTCAAAAGAACTTGAAAAAATCAGATTTTTAAAAATTCATAACTCGAAAATTTTTGCACTTATAAAAACATAAAAAAATACGTAAACCTTTTTTTTCTACAAAGAATAAGAAAAAATAAATTTAGACAAATTTAAAAGGTCATAGGTAAATCTCACGTGGAATCGTCCATATGTTTTTATACCAAATAAGTTCGCTTCGTTTACGGAACCCTTGAACTCGCACTTGTCTGATTTTATTTAAGTTCATTCTAATTTGAAATTTTCAAAATGCTTTAGAATTCGTTCATTATGTAATTAATATGTAAATTCAAATCAGATTTCCTTTTCTTTTTTTGAATTCAACAAAACTACATCAATAGATTTTCTCTAATTTTTCAGTTCATTTAAAATGTCTTCCCAACCACCGTGCGTCTGAAAGATTAAAGCAATGTAACAAGTAACTTATTTTACTTATTATTTGAATCAGCCATTTTCAGAAAGTCTTTTAACGGAAAATGTATCATTTAACCACACCCTCTCCTAATATTTACATTTTACCGAGTGTGACCAAGTTCCATTGGAAACAAACAAAATATTGTTTATTTCGGCTTCCGTAGGATTTAGGAAGTATTAATTTAGTCAAGATTTTTATATAGATATTCCAGCAGCTACAGTTCACCTAGCAGCGGGTTATTCAGTGCATACTCTAAAAGAAGGAGATGATCTGAAACTGGCTTGCAAAATTCAAAGTAATCCATTACCAACAAGTATTGTATGGTACAAAAACGTAAGTTAAAAATAATTACTTCTTAAATTTTAAGGCTATATTTAAATAAGATAAAAAAGTATCCTAAAATTACCCAGTAAAAATAACTAATTCAGATGATTTGAAATGAATTAACTTTTTTGTCAAGATCCAATTCGTATTTGTTGCTAAACGGGATTCATTGAAGCCCATATGGTATATTCATTTCAATTCAACTAAATTAGTTTTCGTTTGCTGGGTAAATATTTAGTTAAAATTTATTTATTAGACGTTTAATTACAGAATTTATTTTTATATCCTTTTAATTCCTAAAATGATGCAAAAATCGGGTCACCATGGCGGGAGGCAAACTACGAATGTGTCACGAACTCGTTACACATTCGTGACACTTTCGTAAATTGTTAAAATTGTGAGAAAAATGAATGAAAATTGAAAATAAATGTTATTGAAATAAATTGATGAAATTCTTTTTTTTTAAATTACTCATGAAATTACAAACTTTTTGAAAATATTTTTTACAATTTTGAAACTTCATTTGTTATAAAAATTTTTTTTTTATAAACAAATTAAAAAATTAACATATTCTGGATGAGTATATTCAATTTTATATACATAGACTTGAAGAGAATTTATTGAGGATTGAAATAAAAAAAAGAAAAAACGGTAATTTGGAATAGTTTAATAACAATGAATTTTTTTTGAAAGCGCGATTTTACCCTGTGCAACGCGCACAGTGGGACGTAAAACATTGTATGTATGTATGTATTTCAATAAATATATAAAAACACGGCCGTGGACAAATTAATGTAAAGCCTACAAATTTCAACCGATTTTGACGTTCTTGGTCTTGTTTTAAAGTTGATAAAATTCTACAGAACGCCTAATTTTGTTTTTTGAAAAAAAATTCTTCTCAATTGTTTATTTAATGTTGAATATGAAAATTTTTTTTCCTCTTACCACACACAGGTGCGAATTCGCACTGCCAAAAATTTTAAGTTGCTGGCATTTCACGTAGTAAAATTTCCAAGGTCTATCACCACCACAACAAATATGTAGGACCCCTCACGTGTCTATTGTCATTGAGTGCGCGCTTATTTATCATCTAGAAGCAGTAGTAGCAGGTTTGAAATCTCCCGTTAGTGCAAATTCGCACCTGTGTGCGGTTAGTGAGTGTGGATTGTTAAAAATTAAAAAAAAAAATTTGAATTTTGCCTGGGAAATCGAGTAAGAAAAAAAGTAAGTATATTTAATCATGTTTACAGTAATATTTGACTGTTATTATATAATAATTTAACATTTTTAGTAAAATTAAAAAATAATTTTTTTTAGTTGATTATCATTGTAAATTTTTATAGTTTATGTATTTTCGATAATTATTTACAAAATTAATTATTAAATTATTCATTTTTTATCGAATAATGTTTTAGTATGAGTGAACGAGTCTCTAATCTACGGAGTGCAGTAGCTGTGGCAGCAACCTTAGAGGATTCGGAGCCTGATGATTCTTCTGACGACCGTTACCAAACCAGCGAATTCGCAGTGTCTAATGATGAAGGTGAATTGATAATCTATTTTCTTTTTGTCTTTCTCTTGCTCACGTTTACCTCATAATAAATTATTGTTATTTTATTATTATTTTTAGGTGACGACAGTGAACATGTTGATGATGAGGGAAGCGACGCTGAAAGTGAATTTGATTCTGAGTTAGATTCAGAAGCGGAGCCGGCATCGAAACAACGCCGTCTCAATGATAGTTTCCAGAGACAACGTGGTCGTGTCCGTCCTCGCAAAACCGTTCCAGCAGCTAAATCTGTTTACAAATGGTCTGAAATAGCATTTGACAGACGTGGTCGTCGTTTAAGTGGGTATCCGAATTGTATTTTTAGAATTTATATGAAAAACAAGCCCGATAAGTATGGGATGAAAATTCTTATGCTAAATGATGCCGAAACATTTTACAGATTAGTGCTATTCCATACGTAGGAAAAGTACAACCTGCTGCAAACGATTCCGTGCCAACTTATTTCGTAAAATCATTGATCGATCTAACTTCTATTTCTGGCACTTGGAGAACAATTACGATGGACAACTGGTATACATCACGGAGAGAAATAGATGGTAAGAATTTATGATCTTAAGATGGTAAAAAGTAGATGTTATCCGGTACTATCGTTATGCTACTCGGTACTATCAAAGATGTTACAAAAAGTATGGTTATGTTACCCACTAGAATCAAGATGTTACCCCGTACAATCTGGATAGTAACTGATAGAATCTAGATTGCTGTCCGTATATGTAAGATCAAATATGGTACCTGGTACTATCTAGATAGTACCCCGTACCATCTATTTCTCTCCGTGATCTATTCCCCTTTTTCAAACGCTAAAAACTGATTATCAGTTGCGAGCAGTAGGTACGATAAGAAAGAATAAAAGGGAAATTCCAAATACTGATGCATTCGATCAAAAAAGTCATCACCTTTCTACTTCTCGTCGTACTCGCAGATGGCCATTACGATTCTTTTATAACATTCTAGACCAATGTGGTGTCAATTCGCAAATTTTATACAACTTGAATGTAAACAATGCATCGCTCACAAGTGCTAAATTTAATAAAGAATTGGCATCTGAATTGATTGAACCGTATCTTCGGCGACGCTTGACCAATCCCACAATACGTACTTCAATTAAAAAGATAATATACACATTTTTAAAAATTGACCCGCCTGCACCGGTAGTATTGTCGGTTATCAGAGAGGTAACAAGGTCAAAATGTAACCTTTGCGATAGCGATGCATCAGGCCGAACACGCATGAAATGTCGAAACTGTATGCGCAGAATGTGTGATGAGCATCGTGCAGCTGTTTGCGTAGAGTGCGAACAATTTTTCGAGCAATAAAAAATTATTCTGTATTTCTTGTATTTTCCTACATGTTTTTTTTATAATAAATAAATGATTTAAGTGTATTTTGTTGTTATTTGTTGCTTATATCACCATATAACAACTCCCAAAGCTGATATGTGCCTAAATTCCCCTTTTAAAACAAACAGTAACTTCCGAGGGGCAGGAAAAATACTTATATTAATTTAAATAAAGTCTTATATTTTTTTCTCAAAAGAGGACATATTTAATCGTTACATCACGTTGGTTTTGTTCAATTTAATAAAAAAAATTTTAAAAATTTTGATTTTTATGTTTTTTTAATTTTTTAACAAAAGTAATTTTTTAATATTAATTTTTCTATAACAAATTTTTATTTTTTGTAAAATTCAACGGCTCCATTGGATTGTACGGAAAATTTCACCCCAAAATGATATATAATTGAATGTATTTACAAAGATTTCTTCATCCCTAAAGCGATTATTCAAAATGCGAAAACCCAATTCGCACTTGTGTGCGGTATATGGGTGCTGGATACAAGTGTGCGGTAAGAGGGTTAAGAAAAAGCGATTATTACGTCAACAAAAGCGAAAAATTTTATTGTATTAACCTAGAAAAATATTCTGATAGTTAATAAAATAATAAATAATAAAATTGTTATAAACAATTTAGTGGAGTAATTGCAAATAGCTTGTTTTTTTTAACTTTTAGTAATTGAAAACCATCTAATTTTTTATATTTGAGATCCAAAAGAAAGTACCAGTTCAATAGGTATTAGAAACTAATTATTTTTAATTGTTAAAACAATTTTTATAAACAATTTAAATGATTTTAGTTCCAACCCTGCAAACACTGTTACAGGTCAGTTATAGAACTGTTACAAATTTTTTGAGAACCTGTTCTGTAACCTGTTGTGAACCTGTGAGTCACTGGTTACACAAAATTTCGTACTCAACGGATATGTAAGATTCTGTAACAGATCTAGAATATGGTTACAAATGTATTTGTAATAGTTCTAGAACTGTTTTGTAACAACTATAAAATGGAACATAACTATTATCGCAAGATTATTACCTAAAAATACATGCAAAATATTTTTATTCTTAATAAAAATATTAAAACTTGATGTATTAGAAAAAGGAAACTCTAAAATAAACATAATTAGATCCGTGTCAAATTTCAACTGTTCTATAGCAATATCGCTCCACAGGCTAATGCGCTAACCGTTACGCTACCCTAACGTGCGAATATAAATACAAAATTGATTTGATAACTTGCGAGTGAGGAGAATTAAAAACTGTATTGCTTATATAAAGAAAAAACAATAAGACTATGTGATATATAACAATTTTAGAGTTGTTTAAATTTAACTACATACTTAAGTAAAATGAACTATTTATTTATTAATTCCATAAAAAATAGTTAAGCTACTTATGAACACTTCAAATTTTTAATCTCACAAGTAACACTACCCAACTGTTAATCACCGATTTTGATGAAACTTGTCACACTTCTAAAACATGGAAAAATATTGAATACGTATTTTTTTATATCGGCCCGTTTTGAGTTTTAAGGGTAGAAAACACCCTTTTTCAATTTAAGGGATGAAAAGCAGTATTTCATACGGAATTTACTAGATTTGCTTGAAACCTATTACTCGGGGGTTTTTGAGGTCGCTGATTACGAATCTGAAGTCAGATTTTAAAAATTCAAAATGGCGGATCCAATATGTCGGACAATAAAATAAACAAGTAGGGGGTCCTTTATGTTTATTTCATAAACATTATGCTTCCTCATAGTGAAGCAAAAAATTCGCTTCCTCGTGAAGGAAGCAATGAATTTGTCCAATTCAATTGATTCATTTAAAAACTTTCGAATTAAAAATGTTTTAAATTAATTAAATTTTTTGAAAAATAAAGAAAATTTTAATTAATTTTGAGTGTAACATAAACTTTATATATTAATTCTTAAATTTTAAATCAAATCTATACTTTATATATACCAACCAATTTGTTTCAATGCAGGGAATAAAATTATTTCATATATAAACATGAATTTAAATAAACACATCATTTTTTAGCTAAAATGAGAATTTTTTATTTTTTAACTTTCTTTAATTCTTTAAATTTCAATCAAATCTA